TTGAGACTCCTATGGACCCTAATACCAAATTGATGCCTCAGACTGAAGAGTTAGCAACGGATAAGGGACAGTATCAACGCTTGGTGGGGAAGCTGATATATTTGACACACACATGCTCGGACATAAGCTTTGCAGTCAGTATTGTTAGCCAATTCTTGAGTAATCCGTCAGTGGATCACATGGAAGCAGTGAGTCGGATTCTTAGTTATCTTAAAAAGGATCCTGGAAAGGGGTTAATGTTCAGGAAAACACTCAATCAATCCCTTGAAATTTACACAGATGCAGACTGGGTCAGGTCTTCTATTGACCGAAAGTCTACATCTGGGTATTGTTCATTTGTTTAGGGAAACTTAGTGACTTGGAGAAGTAAAAAACAGCAGGTGGTAGCCCGCAGCAGTGCCGAGGCCGAGTTTCGAGCATTAGCTCCAGGTATATGTGAAGGAATTTGGCTAAATTGACTGATAGGTGAACTCAAGATTGGAACTTCAAATCCTATTAAGATGATGTGTGACAACCAATCAGCAATTGCAATTGCCAAAAACCTGGTTCATCACGACAGAACGAAGCATGTTGAGATCGATAGGCACTTCATCAGTGAGAAAATAGAAGGAAATGTGATTTCTCTCAACTATGTGCCCTCTCGACAGCAAGCAACAGATATTTTAACTAAGGCCTTGTTTCGACCCAACTTCATTGAACTAAGTTCTATGCTTGGTTTAATAAACATGTACCGCCTAGTTTGAGGGGGAGTGTAGGAAAACAAACTAGTCAATTAGAGAAGTAATTACTTTCCTATAATTATGGTCTGAATATTAGGAGTTAGTTTCCTAATTTTTCTAGCTGATATTTTGTATACCATAGATAGATAGGGTAATTTCTATTTTCTAGGATCTGATTTTCAGATCTTTGTGTATATATATGTATTCATTCTGATCAATAATATATATGAAAATATTCCCAAATCCTTACTGCTTCAGTAATGATACAATACGTTACTGATACATCGATCAAATTCTTTAAATTCTTCGTTTATATTGTATAAATTTAATTTATACTTATTATTTTTCTTGTTGAAATTTTTAAAATATGAATACTTATTTGTTATTTGATAATAACTTCGAGTTAAAAATATATAATATTTTTGACAAAGAAAGAAAAATGATCATGATAGTATCTAAAAAACAAAATTCATTTATGAATACCCCAGGCTGAATCCAATTGAAACTTAGTAAAACAGCAAGTCATAGAACCCATCCAGAATTATAGGTTAGGTTAACATGCCACCATGAAAATCCAAAGTGAAAGTAGTCCTACAAGTATTTTTCATAGAAGATAATCATTTTCCACTATTTCCTTCTAGTTTTAGAAAGAATCTTTCTTTTTTTTAAGTTAATCAATCCATAAACAGTTAAATTATTTCGATGGAATATTAACATACCAATAAGTATATTCACTGGGATGTGTCTCCACACTTGCTTTAGTAAACAGAAACGATTTTAAACGCAAGATTAACAATAAACTACAGACTAACCATTGGTGCCAATGTGATTCCACAGCCTCACCAAATTTCTGCTTTACAACAGCTCCATTTCGCCAATCTGACGAGTTGATCTAGAAAGAAAAAAATTCAGACAGAATAGTTTAAGTAAAGTTGAAACACAAATACTTGTAGGTTTAAGTACACAAAATGAGGATAACTGTTAAATCGAGAAGTATTTCGTAGTACGCAAGTTAAAAGGACATAAAATATGATGAATGGCCTCAGATAGTCCAGTTTCTACAATCTTTTTAAGTATTCATCCCTCAAGTTTGGAAAGTAGCCTAACATTCTAACTAAGGCCACATATCAGTGACTCATCATTCAAATCTATGCTGTGAGGGGAACAGAAGTAGAAGTTAGCAGATAATGAGGTAAAATAAAGGTCATTTTAAACTTCTATGACATGATTAGCACCAAATGTTCAAATTGGTGATTTCTGTGTTGACAGCTCAAAGTGATAAACATTCGATTGTCTTTTAGAGTTAAATGATTAATACCTATACTTTATTAGCTACAGCATGCCTTACATATCAGCAAGAATCATACGGTGAAGTCATACTTATAAGTATAATGCTTAGCCTTATGTTTAAGTGGACTGCATAAATGTAAACCATGTGCAGTATATCACGGAGAACAATAGTAATTGTTTCGACTTTCATGCAGTGACAATGAGTCAATAAAATGGGCATGAAACACAGATTTGACGGAGTCAATCATGAATTTTTATCTGCTTGAGCTGTAAAATGAAAGTTTTGTGTAAGGCTTTCATGCGTTTCAACTATACCAAGAGTGATAAAATCGGCTGAAAGAACTAGAGATTCGGGTGATTGGAGTTGTTCTCCCCCATATATCCATATATTTATCATTTAGGGGTATTTATCATTTAGGGCGATTTATGATTAATTAGAGGTAGCTACCAGGTTTAACAGAACCTCTATTATTGTCCAATGTTATTAAAGCAGGTTCTGTTTGATGTGAGAGGAAAAATGTCAACATCCGCCTGTCATATAAGTTCAGGACAAAACAATGAAAGATGAAAAAAAAAAAAAAAATTCAATGTGTGTTCATTCTAGTCGCATTGCATACTCAGATATTGGAATTAACAAATACATGGTACGGCCAACAAGCCATTTATTCAAGTGAGCAAAACACACATAATGACTTAATATTACATGAATCCATAGTTAATTTAGCACTATTTCAGCAGTACCTCAATAACCTGAAATCCCTTTTCTTTCGCACAAGCATATATGGCAGCAGACTTCCCACTCTGCAATAAAAGGTAGATGTTTTCAATCAAGCTGAATAATGACAGCACTTGGAAGGTAGTTTTGTAAATAGTGAAGTGGAGAAATTGCGTTATCATGTAAGTGTAATCTAAATCTAATAAGAGGATCGCAAAAGATGGCATTGTTAATTTCAGGAATGAGGAATCCCAGCTGTTGTGGTGGCATTTGGCTAGGGTAAAAGTAAAATATCACGAGTCAAAATCTCATATAAAACACTACGGTAGGAGACATTCAATGATTCAATTTAAGACCAAAGGAGTGTCATTAATAAACTTTATCAGACTATGAACTTCTTGAATAATTATGATAAATTTGGTAAATATGCAGAGATCTGACTAACAAGAGCAAATTTTCACCATATACATGCTTCATTAGAAAGTACAAAATTGGCACTCAAAGGATGTCTCTATAAGTAATAAAGAACCAACTTGCTTAAAAAATTATTGACTTCTCATCTCTAAGTACTGTAAGTTTCAATTAGAACAATAGAAGAAATGCTTAGTATCAGAACATTGCGAGCATGCACTGGATTTACCATCCAGTAACGAGTAACCAAAAAAAAAAAAGGGATGGAAAAACGAGCTACATACCCCAACTGGCCCAGTTACTAAGAGAACATTCTTCAAATCATCTACAGTATCAGAATTACATTCACTTAGACAACAATCATAATCAGCATCTTGTGCAGTCAATTTATTGTCAGCACTGCCATGTCTAGTGGTGAGAGAACCCCTTGTGTGCCAAAGATGCAGCCACTCACACAAAAATTTCACTTCTTCGCCGTTCCCGCATACCTTTCCAGAATGACATAAGAAAATGGTACTGAATAAAACCCAAATCACCAAAATGGATATAAAATAAGGACCAGGTTATCTAATAATGAAAGGCAAATATGACGTCTCTTTTCTATACACTTCAAAATAAACTCAATTAGGTAGAAGAATCGAAGTGGTATTTACTGGCAGCATTGTGAAGGGAAGGAATTGAGAAAAAGAAATGATAGTTCAGTAGATTTGACGTGGGAGAGGGATGATAATGATTCAATGCTAAATTAGAGATGGAAAACATGTTGACAAACAATCACTTTACAGCAGGAAAAGCAATACTCTTGCTATGTTTAATATATTTAACCTGCAAGGAGTTCTCAGGCTGGTATTTGTCTATCCATAGGCAGTTTTCAGATTGATTGCGACAAGAATGATAATGCGACATTATCCTGGGTGCAAAAGTAAACATAACAATCAGTATGATATTAGTGTTGCTGTAGTTGCTCCTCTTGTTGCAAATTGCAATCAACGCCTGCTTGTGACAATACAACAACAAGTACTCATATTGGTATATGTCCAATCAAACACGTGATCGTCAGTAATTAGTATTCAAGTTTGTAAACCGTGTATTTTAAAAGAAACAGAAAGGCATTTATTTTCAATCATTAAGAAACAGATTAACATCCTGTCAGGTCCTATTAGCTGAAGGGATGGGATAAAGCACCTTGAATCTAGTAAACCTCAGTGTCAGACCAAGGCATACATGTATAGTCCACGAGCCTTCAATAATTAGTTTTACTACTTTAGCAATATAACAAGATTTAAGAAAATAAAATATATCTAATTATTAGCAGTATGTAAATGTTGAAGTTTGAAGTGCAGGATTAGATACAGACAAAAGGAAGAAACAGATATGAAAATGAGAATAAGCTAATTGCTTCTTAGAAAATTGATTGTACGTTTATCAATATCTTATCCCAATAATATGTGTAATATCTCCAAATGTTAGAAATCCACACCAAAATGTTTTTCTATGTGGTGGTAATTAAATATGGTATTTTTCAAAGGCTCTTAAAAACTAAATTATTAAAGATTGAGCTGTTCGGAAATTTTGCACCACTGGAATCTAAAATGCACCTTCTTCTTCCATTTGAGCCCCACCCCATTATTCGAAATTATAATTTTTGGAATAGTTGATTTTATTATTATTATTATTTTTTTTTTTTTGAGGGAATAAATGGTTGAAAAAGAAGGAAAAAATTTCAATTTACGTATAATATTATTTTATAGAAGATTGTGTGGTTGAAAATAAAAGAGTGAAATAATAATTTCAAATAACGGCGGCCAAACAAGTGCTGAATATTCCATGTCTAAACAGACATCCTAATGCAAAATAAAATCAGGAGAAGATTTGACAAAGAATAAAGCCTTCAAAGTAGAAGCACGTTAGTAAAGATGGAGAGACTGTCAAAAATGAAATAAAAACAATAAGGTTTTAAAACAACCCAAATGAAATAAAATTATTAATTGAGACACTCCATAAGTAATAATATCATCTAACATAAACCCCCCAAAACAGAGGAAGAAACTGAGAAAGTGAAATAGAATTAAAAAAGAAAGCACGCCCAGAGAGAAGCGTATAGTAAAGAAGCTCCTCTTACGTGCATGGGGTGATAATCATAAATTATTTTTACCTTTCCTGAAGAAGTCTATTCTGGAACTCAGCATCTGAGTATACACCGCTGGAATTCCCAGTAAAGGAATCAATTTCTTCAGGTTTTTCCTGCTGATCGTGATGATAATGAGATTGCATAAATCATAGTGATAAATATAATTAGAGAACATATAGATGTACTAAATCTGTTTCCTTCTATTTACTTCAGAATACTAATCTTGAAAAGTTCTTTTGAAAAATCAATAAACAAATAGATTTTTTCCCCTGGAAACTTCAAACCCCATACACTACTAATTGCAACTAAACATTTCTCCCAAAAAAAAAAAAAAATTGCCAGAGGGAGGGATACAAGTCCTGAGATAATGTATAAAATACCAGAAATGAAGATTTACCAATATTACTTCAACCGGTGCAGCAAGTATCCCTTCTGTACCTTTTAGTGATGCCTTTGAATCCTTCTGTTGAACACAATGCATTACTTTCTTATCAGCCAACAATGAAAATAACATAGGATATGAACATTTAGGTCAATCTAGAGGACTCGAACAAACCTCAATCTGAGGAAAGGAACACTGATCCGGAGTGGTCTTGTTTTGGTATGACGATATTCTTGTGAAACTGGAAGCATTCAGAAAGGTATCAAAGTGCAAGGAATTGACAGATCCTTCATGAACCGGTAGGCATCCACATCCTAGGCCAACATCTGTACTGACTGAACTTTCAGAGAATACCCAGTGTCCCCAATCCATGTTCACCTCATTATCCTGAGTAGGCAGAATAGAAATTTTGTCAAAGTGACGCATACGTAGAAATAGAATTAGATCTCTTGAAGAAACTTTTGAAAATGAAAAACTAGAGGAAGAGTGTACCTCAACATTTTCAAATACATGGATAGGGCTGAAAGCAATTTCTTTTTCCTTTCTTTCAAGCCACGCGTT